CGCTGGATCGGCTTTCACCGTGGACGAAGCGGAGTCCAGCCCGGGGTCGTCACATGTGGTTGCCGCAAGCATCACAATATGGTAAGGGACGTAACATTTTCGTCACATGCTTGAGGAATTCGGCCAATCACAACGCACTGGATAGCTGGCCAATCAGAGCACTTTTTCACCAAGTGGTTTCCACAGGCATCACAATATAGTAAGGGACGTAACATTTTCGTCACATGCTTGAGGAATTCGGCCAATCACAACGCACTGGATAGCTGGCCAATCAGAGCACTTTTTCACCAAGTGGTTTCCACAGGCATCACAATATAGTAAGGGACGTAACATTTTCGTCACACGCTTGAGGAATTCGGCCAATCACAACGCACTGGATAGCTGGCCAATCAGAGCACACCTCGCTTTTTCAGACAGATGAGCTTTGTAAAAATCGACGCGTTTCAGAAAGGCGGGGCATAGAGGAGAAATAATAATGTACAGTATGTGGAAAATAATGTGTTTTTTGAACCTTAAACTGCATAAACACATTTCATTACACCAAATACACAAAATAATGTTCTTTTTAGCAGCATATGACCCCTTTAATTAACCAAGAAAAGCAATATTAGAAGTTTTCTTGTTTAACTTTTTATGTAAAAATAAAATAAATGAAATAATTAGAGGTGGAAACTTTTTTATCCATTACATAAAAAGTAAAAATAATTACTGTATAAATATAAAACACTTTATAATAAGGTTCAATTTTGTTAATATTTGTTAATGTATCAGGTATCATAAACTAATAACAAGTAATATTTTACAGCATTTATTAGACTACCTTCATGTTATTTTCTGCATATACTAATACATTTTTAACATTTCAAGTTGCATAAATTAACAATAGTTTTTGTATTATGAATAACATGACTCAACACTCTCAGAAAAAAAAAGATGCAAAAGCTGTCAATAGGGTGATATTTTTGATATCTCAAAAGCAGCACATTTGTACCTTATTTACCCTTAAAGACTGCATTATGTACCTTCAAGGTACATAGAGTATCAGTAAAGTGTTATTAATACCTTAATGGTACATATTTGAAAAGTTACAGCCCCGATGAATACCTTTGTTACTGTTTTTCTGAGAGTGAACAATGAGCCATAGTAAATTTATCAACATAGATAAATGCTGTTAAAAATGTTGTTCATTGCTCATGATACCTAATCTATTACTTTATATTAAAGGTGCAGTAAGCAATTTTTCAGATACACTGTTCATATTTGAAATGACCATGATGGGGGGGGGGGTTTCCTTGACCCAAAAGGATCACACCCCAATCTTGATAACTCCACCCCTAAACTAACAAACATGCTAAATGCAACAAGAACCCCCCTCCCCCCCCATCATGACTGGACACGCCTCTTGCTGGTGATTGGCTACAAGGGTGTTTAGGTGCTTGTCTGATCCACTTTTCTCATAAATCTACGGTGGCCGAGAAGTGCAAAGCAAATCACAATTCTGAAAACAAAATAACAAATTACAAACGCAAATGCAAGTCTAAAAAACTAAATAACAATTCAGAAAACATTTTAACAAGTCAGAAAACACAATGACAAATTCGAAAACAAAATAACAAGTCAGAAAACACAACGACAAATCCGAAAACAAATTAACAAGTCAGAAAACGACAAATCAGACAAACCGGAAGAGGTAGGTATAGTTTGAGACAGCGCCATTGGTTTGGGATTACTCACCGCTGACTGGACGA